TTCTCAAATTGAATGTCAATCTTAATGGTTTTACGGAGTGACTTAAAATAGGCTAATTTATTAGATCTAGCTATTAATTAAGTTACAAAATCAAACACAAAAGCGTACTTTGTCTGAATAAACATATATGATTTTTTTTTTTTTTTTACACATTTGGATTTCTGACCCTCAACATAGAAAAAGTGGTAGACAAAATTTCGAAAATATTGGATCAAAAATTTAAATGCTAAGAAGTTATATATATTTGGCGTCGTCTCAAAAAGAGGCCAAACGCTATCGGCATACAGCAGGAGGAGAAATTTAATACAAGCATAATCTAACAGCGTAATCGACAGGAGAGAAGTACCTAGTGTTTCTCCGTTGCTAAGCAACTAAGTTGAGAAAGTTTTTTTTTTTAAAGTTTTTTTTTATTTCCCATGGCAGAAATTAACAAACTCTTAACGAGAAGAATAAACATAGATTAGAGAAAAAAATCAGTGACTCATTAGCATGCATAGCACTCCAATATCTGTTCAGGTCGGAGTTTCCGTGTACAGCTGAATATCCCATCAAGTGCTTCCTATCCATTACTTCGAATTTCCTACAGAGTGGGCGATTCGGACTCGTAAAAATACCAATGCAATGGAGGTGGTGCGCAAGACAGTCATGACCCAGCGCAAGTCTAAATTCTGCCACAGCCTTTTCAAGGGGTTTGTCTGAAATGCCCCGGTCTAAAATGTTCCCCCAACTTTTCAGGGATGTACGGGAAGAAAGGGACGGTTTCCAATTTTTCCACATTAAATTTCTGATGTAGATTTTCGTGGAATGAAATGATCTATTGGTGTCTCTTAGCAACATATTGATTGATGGGTACAAATCGATATCACAGGCATTAAAATCTTGGAAAGATCGTTGGGCATTTCAAGTCCTGCTTATGTTTCACGCTGCCATTTTGTCACCCATAGACGAAATTCTGTTTCGACAATTTTTACGGAAGCATTTAAGAGATTCTTCTAAAACTCTGCAGTTTCACGAACGGCTATAAGAGCTTCTGTAACAGTTTGACGAGGTAAAAAAGACTCGTAGATCAAAAAGTTTCATCACATCTGGCTCGGAGGGCTTCAACATTATTAATGTTTACAATGAAACTATGACGCATTTCGTTTTAATCATTTGGATTATGATTCTTGAAACAATGAAGAACATAATTAGATGGAAAAATCGATTTTTCCGACCTACCTAGGTGTATATGCCCCCTTAAATAAATTTATTTCTTTTGTTAACTATTAGAAAAATTATTTTTTTTATTATTTTTTCAATTTGGGGGGGGTCATGATCCCTATTACCCCCCCCCCTGGATCCGCCACTGTCGAGTGTTCGAAGTTTCAAAACCAATGTCAGAAAGCAGCGGTATCCAGTGTCGTTCCTGGCGGGTATGCAGCGAATGCCCCGCACGCAGGCGCCCAATTTAAGGGGCGCCAAATTCAACTATTCAACTATATACATAGTATATAGGGGAGCACAAAATTATTCTTGCACGCAGGCGTTCGCCACCCCAGGAACGGCACTGGCGGTATCAATCATCTACAGGTGGTAAAAATTACTTTCTTGCAGCAGAGTAAGCTTCACCACCTCACGAACCATAGACAGAATCGCCACCAGAAAATCGTCAAGCATCGCTTCTCACCAACATTTTCTAGCAATGGAATAAAATTAAAATTTAAACGAAAATTGACGTTCGAAATGGGCTACAGGTGACGTAGAGCAGAACACTAAAATATCGTATACATTCCTATACAACTGAAAAGAGGAGGAGAGGGCAGGGAGAAGGGCCAAAGACATGAAACCGATTTCTCCCCAGATGGCGTATTCAAGCGTTGCGATCACCAATACTGTAAAAATTTGTTAGTTACAGTACTTGATTTACGTATTAAAAAAATCCATGTTTGTTGCTTGCTCTCAAGGTCAGATGAAAAGTGGTTCGGTTCATCTGTAGAACTCTTTTGTGGAGTTGTTTCTGAATCCTCCCTATCTGTTGCTAGACAAGCAGTGATTCCGTTTCAAACTATTTCCACATTTCTCATTGATTTCTTTGCAATTTATGCAGAATCTCTTAGTCTTGCACTTATCCTTTAAGTGTCTCATTTTTCTGCAATTGGAACAATTATCTGGTTACTTGCGGTTTAACTATTTTGCTACCAAGTCCAACTTTCATCTTGCCCGAATGAAAAGGCAGACAGACTTCATGAAGAGCTATGGTAATGATCCAGTAGCTGCCTCATCATAAGACCTCATTTTAAATGAGGACTTGAGATTCTCTTATTAGGGGTTGAAATTCTCTCTTGTGCTCGTCCCACGGTGGACTGATCGTTAAGACACGGTTCCCAGAAGATCACCGAAGTCAAGCATCACTGGCTGTGGACAGTGTGCAGGTGGGTGACTACTTGGATCAGTCTGCGTAGGGACTGAGGGTGTGCGATATTGGTCCTCGTCAAACTGTTTTACCGTAAAGTGCTCGACTTCGCGTGCAGGTCGTCAGGCTACCGAAGCGGGGGTGCCATCCCCTCTGCAGAGGATCAAAATTGTGATGACTTGTCTTCGGATCATCCTCAGGGATGTTTCCCAGACCGTCGCCAATAGCCCATTGTGCAGCTCTAGTGCGGCGTAAATTAACTACAACAACAACTCTCTTGTCCTCACTCTCTCAATTAGAATTCCTTAAGTTAATCTTCAACTTCGAACAGAATCACTCGTGATTTTCTGAGTCAGTGAGGAGGTAAGCTAAAGATTTTTCCATGCATTTAAAAAGGTTTCAAGATATAGCGAAATACGCAAAGAATAAAATTAACATTAAAAGATAGGTCCGAACTTCGAAGCGTTCTACTGTTTTAGAGATTGTGGCAACCACCTATATTTTTAGAGTTCACAAATCCGTATCCGTCTTTTTAACGGCCGTGAAAAATTTTTTATGGTTTTTCAGAAAAAGTACATTTTTGCGTCTTTTTTCCTCACTTATAATATCATCTGCACTTATTAATTAATATATTTGAGGTCACCGTCTCGAGCTATTATGACTGAGTCCTAGAATGTCAAGATCCGATTGTCAGATTGAAAGTTACTGTACATCTCCATGAAATTGAGAAGAGGGGGGGGGGAAGGGAAGTGGGGATGAGGAAGACATGGAACCCAGATGGCATATTCGAGTGCTGTGGTCGCGAATCACTCGCCAATGCGATTCACGCGTACGCGAGCAGTTTATCCCATGAAGGATTTACACTGGATGCAATTTTTTCGCAGGTGAAACTATCGTATTCAGTACGCCAATGCGTACTATTGCATATAAGCTATTTTATTTTATTTTATAACCGTCGTTGAACAGCCGACCTAATTTCATGGGTTTACGACTACTTACGTTCAACTCCGTAGCCTTGTAATTTTGAACCAATCCAGAAGACAAGNGACGAGCATTGCCTAGGGGCCGCGACATGCATAAACCGGCCCTGAGTGAGGAGGTTAGCTAAAGATTTTTCAATGCACTTAAAAAGGTTTCGAGATATAGCGAAGTACGCAAAGAATAAAATAAACATTGAAAGATAGATCCGAACTTCGAAGCGTTCTACTGCTTTCGAGATTGTGGCAACCCCCTATATTTCTGGAGTTCACAAATCCGTATCCGTCGAAAAAAATTTATGGTTTTTCAGAAGAAGTACATTTTTGCGTCTTATTTCCTCACTTATAATATCATCTGCTCTTATTAATTAATATATTTGAGGTGAGGTCACCTTCTCGAGCTATTATGACTGAGTTCTAGAATGTCAAGATCCGATTGTTAGATTGAAAGTTACTTAGGGTGAAGGTTAAAGGTAAGGAATTTAGTTATTAGGGTTATTTATAAATTTTTTGCGCACTGAAGGAGAATGGGGAGAGGGAAGTGGGGATGAGGAATACATGGAACCTGCCTTAATTCCAGATGGCATATTCGAGTGCTGTGGTCGCGATTCACGCATAGGCGAGCAAGTTTATCCCATGAAGGATTTACATTGGATGCAATTTTTTCGCAGGCGAAACTATCGTATACAGTACGCCAATGCGACGAGCATTTACGTGTAATCGCATATAGTGAAAGTGCTAGTTTCATTCAGAGCCATTTTCAGATAATGCGGCTCACGCACTGCTGATCACAGCGAACAGAGAAAAATGTGAGTTTTCACAAGACAATATTTCTTATTCTGTTTTGCATACGAATATTAAAAACTGGCAACAGCTACTACAGCAGAAAACTGTTTGTAAATAAGAAAACGAAAAGAGAAATTTGATGTCTGTTATCTCCTAACCTGTGTCAAAAAAACTGTAATAATGTTTTCAGACTGTTAAAATAATTTGCTTTTCGAAAAGCTACTTATTGCAATTTAATCATGACCCTTGGAAAAACTTTTCGTGTATATCATCGTACTAAACATGAGGGAGGAGGCTCATATTTTATTTTGTTAGAGCAAAGAAATAAAAATGATGCTCTCATCTTTGAAGATGGATATATTCGTGTTTTATGTGAGAAACTTTTTCTTTATTTCATAAAATAAATCCCTTATGTAAAAGCATTTTAAATAATTCTTTATTTGAATGAAATAGGCACCCAGTTCTATAGAAATGTATGTTGAAAGAAAACCTCTTGGGAACAATCTCTTTTTATTAATGTCGTTACGACATGTTTAACATTTATATGGTTGCTTTGATCTTTTATTCACTGTATATTTTCAGATATTTATTCGCTTTTTTCCGTTATTGGTTGAGAAGTCTATCTATCTATATATATATATATATATAATGTTAGGATTATTATTTATTAAAGCATATGTTGTATATATTTTAGCTTTATTGCGTCTATTTATTCATATATGTATATATATGTTTACAACCTAATCTACTTTCAATTTCATCGCTTAGCCAAATGTTTTAAATGCATATTAGTATATTTATTGAAAAAAAATGTTTTGTTTACTGGATGTGATGCTGCTCAATACAAATGAGAGGAAAATTTCATCGCCCTTTAAACAGGGCTCCCACGAGTCAGAGAATATGAAGAAAACCCGGAATTGGCAGGGAATTTTATTTTAACTCCAAAAATTAAGGAATAGGCAGGGAAAGTTGCGATTTTTTTGCAGAAACCTGAATAATTCCTACATTATATCTAGAAAATAGCAAGTTTTAAATTTGTCAGTAAGAGTAATTAGTTTGAGATTCGACTTAAATAGTTCTAACATCTATTACAATTATTTATTGTTAAAATTTCACATTTAAGTCAAACTGAAATGTTTCCATCCTCATTTAATTATATTTATTTTACTCATAAAATCTAATACTTAGCATTACAAATAAAAGAATCAAGGATAAATAGGTGCGGATTTTTCATTGAAATTTACCTGATATTCTTGGAAGAGTCAGGGAATTTTTTTTCCTGAAATTGAGTTGGAACCCTGTTTAAAATCTGGGGTTTTATCCTTAAACATGTCCTCGTATCATTGAACCAAACCTTTCAAAGGATTGTTTTATTATGTTATCTACCTAATGCTTAAGTTTGCTAAATGAGGTTTAAGATAAAGTTACTAGTATTTACACTTATTTTATTTTGTTCTCATAATGCACAGCTATTATTTCACTCTGTCTTAATAACTTATTCCTTGTGGCAGTTTGAAAAACTCCCATTTTCAAATCGACCCTGTAGCAGAATTTTTTCGAGCTATCTGCGACTAATCGCTCTAGCACAAATGTCTCTCTGCAAGATACTTTGAATTATAACAAACATGTATGTTACTAATTGAAAGTAACAAATGTACTGTATTTACAATAAAGACTATATATAACTTTTTTAAATTGAATAAGTGATAAGTTTTTATTTTAATATTATGGATGATATTCTCACATTTTGTTGGGTAAAAAACGCACAAACTATTTGTGCGCTTTTCCAAATTATTAAATTTGGTAAATAATCATCACAATAAAAAAAAAGTAATTAAAAATCATGAAATCCACATGGTCCCCATAGCTGAAAAAAAGATCAATGACGAATTCACTCAAATCGGACTCCTTAAACGCTTGTTTCGTTTCTAGAATAGGTTGTTGTAACAAATAATATCGTATCAAAAATATCAGATTTAAAAACTATGGAAAAATCAATAGCAGAATTCGATAGAATTATAGCCTTAAAAAGTACTCAAATGCACGATTCGAATTTTCCATATTGTTTCAAATATATCGGGACATTTAAAATCCATGTGAAAATGAATATCAATAACTGCCGAAAATACAATAAAAAAATTACATCGATTTACGATACTATCGGCGTAAAAAACATTTCTGCAAGAACTCTGTAATGTTCTGCCACAATCTCGCCGTGTCGCTGCTATTCTGCCACAGAGCAAATCGATAAGTGTTAACAAAGCTAAAACAGTTTCTGGTGCAAAGCTGGGATTTTTAGTGCACTGGGACAAATCTTGTGTTTCTCTCCACAAACAATAAAGTGCATATAAATATGAAAAATCTGCATAACTTATCATAGTGGTTAGAAGGAGCACACTACAAGGAGTGAAACTACTGAAATCGGTACTTTACTTCGTAGTTTGTAGTGTAGTACGAAACAAGGAAACAGTAGTTTATAGAAATTTCTTCCAACTACTTTTACCATTAATTTAGTAAAGAAATAAGGTTCTAACTGAACAAGATTTTAAAATTTAAGGGGTACGAACCTTTGTGGGTCCATCAAGGGATGCAATAAAAAATGCCCCGGTGGCTGCGGCTAAGCGTTCCACAAATGCCACGACTTACCTAGATGAGGTCACTTGCCCACATCCAATTCAATTACTATTTTTTTGTTATTATTTATTGATATTTATTTATTATTATTATTATTTTTTTGCTTTTACCTCTGATACAAATTTTAAGTCGAATTTTTATTCGATCAACTAGTATATAATAATTACAACTGTAATTTTTTCTGCAATGGTATATTTATATTTTAATAACATAAAGTTTTAATAAATAATAATAAAGTTTAATTAACAAAATTATTATATTAATGATTAATAAAAATTTATAAAAAATTTTATTATAAAATTTAATAAATAATTATATAATTAATACTACATTTTTATTTCAGCCTCTGATGAATTTGAAAGCTTAAAAAAAAGTTGTTCCAGACTTCCTGATGCTTATGGCTGTTTAGGAGTTCTACAAATGTATCAAGGTAAACTAAGTTGCTGGTTGCCTAAAAAGACTGGCTAAAGTTTTCCTTTTCTTTTTTTAAATAATGGTCTTTAGTTTTAAAAAAAAGTGGCTTTTTGAAGGAAAAAAATTCTTAAAAACTGTTGTAAGATGAAAGGGACACAATATTGTTTATTAATCACAGTTATTTGGATGTTTAAAGCAGTATATGAGCACTAACAACAATTTTTTCTTGACCCCAATTGGGCTCAATAAGGGTCCTACACGAAAATCCGCCAAGAGACCAATATTGGAATGCCTAGATTTTTTAATACAAGGCCAATATCTGCCTATGTACGGCGAATATAGGGCCTATATTGGCCAAATAAAGAATCTAAAATGTCGAGTGAATCTGAAAGCTCTATCTAGGGCCGATATTTGTTGTAAAATGGCAGTAAAATATTGGGTGAGCTGTAAAATTCTACATAGGGCCGAAATCGGAAAATAATGGACCTTTGAACACTTATTGAGCTAAGATTTGTGAATATCGGTCCAATGAAGACCTGAGTTATTTTGCTGCTAGGGGAGTAGCATTTTTGCACATCTTTCAAAACAGTTAGAATAATCTGCTAAATATCTGTAAAAAGAGTAATATCTTTCTCGTCTTTGCATTCATTGACATTAAATTGATAAA